CTATTGTGCTCTCCCATACACCAGCTGGAGCATGGCACGCTGGTCGATATGCGTCCTTTCTCCGACATCGATAATGTCGAGATCTCAGTCGTCTCCCGGGCACGGATCACTCTCCCTCTGCTCAGTCTTCGACATCGACAGATCCCTAAAAGCACTCAACGTCATCCTCCCTCTCTGTTCGCCGAGGATTGGACATTCAATATCGATGATTGGGCTAATAGGGGCCACACACGGTGACTGTCTCCAAGATGCTCCCGCTCCAGGAGTAGATCCCCATGAGTCTTCTTGCCCCCACCCGCTCCTCTCTCCAGGGATCACCACCAACTGCATTATCTTTATGGGGCTTATCCACCAGCATCCATGCCGTGGTTGACTCCAGCAGGTTACTCTGATTGGGATCGTTACTCTACCCACAGATCACAGTCACCCTATAAATCGAGGCCTTCGGCATCTCTCTCCGATTCACCAGATCATCCATCTGATGACCCTCCTGGATATCAACCAGATCAATATTGTCCTCCCAGTCCCCCTATCCCACCGTCAACAGATCCAACCAGTCAGGTCAAGACCACTCCGGTACAATTGCCAGAGCCCGATTCCTCTGACTCTGTGGATGAGGATTCTGATACAGGGGCTTCGGATATCCATAGCTCCCCTGACCAGCCATCTCCTAATCAAGCAGTAGCCGACGACCAACCTATATCTCCGTCTGAGAATTTAACCTCCTATGGAGAACTTATAAAAAGAATGGCACACTCCCTTGGCCTTTCTGTCATACAACCACATCCACAGGTGACAGATGCTGTCTTCGATGTAGTCCAGCTAACAGCTATAGCACTCCCCATGTCTACAGTCCTGTTACAGGCAGCAAAGGCTCTGTGGGATAAACCGTCTTAGGCTCCAGTGTCCACACGTCGCTTGGACCACATGTACAGAGTCCAAGAAACTGGAGCAGAATTCTTATTCTCCCACCCTCAACCAAATTCCATGGTAGTCACTTCCTCATCCAAGTCCAAGAGTACATATTCTGCACCTTCAGACAAGGAGAGCAGAAAGTTAGATGCATTCGGACGCCGTTTCTACTCTACGGGAGTGCTAGGAGTAAAAACCACCAATTACTTAGCGTGTATGAGTAGATACCAGTACACCTTGTGGGAAAGGCTTTCTGAGCTTCTGGTTCATCTCCCAGAAGACAAGCGTCAGGCAGCCCACATTATCCATGGTGCTGGCAAAACAACAAATCAATGCTTCCAAACACACGCTAGACACTTCCTCAAGGACAATGGCTTCAGCCATAGCCCTACGAAGGAATATTCTGGTTCATCTCCCAGAAGACAAGCGTCAGGCAGCCCACATTATCCATGGTGCTGGCAAAACAACAAATCAATGCTTCCAAACACACGCTAGACACTTCCTCAAGGACAATGGCTTACAATACCGACCTCGTCCCTGGTCCAGACCCTGGCAAAAACGCACCCCAAACCGTCAATCTCCTGACCAGCAATGGAAGCCACGTACATCCTCTGGAGGCCAGAAACCCACATTCCAGAAACCTAGATTTGGATCGGGACAACAGTCTTCCTGCAATAAGCAGGCAAAGTCCGCCAAGCAGGGTTTTTGACTTCCATATCTCCCAGTCACCTCCAACCCGTCTAACCACTTTCCTCCAATCCTGGCACCTCATCACCACGGACGAATGGGTGCTGTCCATCTTGACCCAGGGTTACCGTATAGAATTCATCCAGAACCCCATTACTCCTGTCTTCACGCCCCCTTCTCCAGCTCTCCTGGAA